CATGTCCGGTTAAAGGAAAGAAAAGGTGGCAGACCTTTTGGGAAAAAATGTTGAAATTTTCATTTCCGTCTCTTGCATTTTGCCCCTCCTGACCATTGTTTCCTTGTTGACACTGTGATTCCTTGCCTTTTCCTGGTTGCAGCCCTGTCCAGAATCTCCAGGATGATCTTGTTGTTGAAATGATGGACAATTCAACTCAGAAGGTTCTGGCAAAAGTAGGTGGGTGCCTAAAAGTCCACAGTTTGTGAACGAAGAGCATTGGAGCATGCAAGTGTCAGAAAGTAGGTGCTTTCTGAAAGTAGGTGGGTTCCTAAAAGCAGGTGTTTTCCGATGCTTGCATGCTCCAACGTTGGCAGAAAGTAGGCGCTCTGAAGAAAGTGGAGTTGGCAGAAAAGATGGCCAGCAGGGAAGGGTGGGGTGATGTTTAAAGTTTACACTTCAAAATTTAAAAGTATTCAGTACTATTCACTATGACTACGTTCCGGACATGCAGACCAGTGTCCGGACAGTCTGCTCTCTGGGGTCCAAAACTGGATGCCGGCAGTCGGTTTTGCAGTAATTGGAAATATTATTTGACGTAGATTGTAATATATAGGGTTCAGCCTCCTGATGAGTCGGTGAAACTCCGATGAAACAGTTCGTCACAACCCCTCGTTTGTTGTCCTCTTCTCCCTCTCTGCCTGCGGTTTACCGGGCACAGCTCTGTTTCATGATATATATAGTTAGTAAATTCTCCAACTTTCTCAATTTCCAGAACAAAACTAAATGTCTAAAACAAAAACTGAAACAATGATATGCTGTGCAGGTTGTGCCGCATTGAAATATGAACAACTTTGGCTGAGGGCCAGCTCGGAATTTGCAACCGAATTGGAGGGAAAAGATCAAAGCCAAAACGAAACACACGTTCCGAGGCACGTCCCGATCTGGATCAGGCACAGACGTCTGGACACTGTTCGAACCCAGTCTTGACTGTCTGGTGTCCAGATGGGTCCGGTGTACAGGTCTGTGGTAGCCATGATGTTCAGCTACACACAAAAAAAAATTCGGTGGGGGACTGTGTGGCGTTGTGGAGACATGTAATGACCCGCACAGTTTTCAGTCTGAGCAACCTGCATTTTTTTGAGAAAGACTCAGCCAATGACAGCCATTGATTTTTTTAGTATGGTTGTTTTCTGACTGGTGCACACACACACACACACACGCACACACACACCCACACACACACCCACACACACACAC